AAGAGGGCCTAGTACCTGGACAAGGAAATGAGGTTTAATATAACAGAGCATCAGCAAAAAAGATCAGAAAGACTCTTAACAAAGTCAATTTACAAAGTGGCTATAGTAGTGAAGCTTTAGAATCTTTGCCTCCAAGGAGCAGCCTGATTTCACCCTCTCTAGGACGACCCTGTTTGTTCTCCTAACAGTCCATGGTATTCAATATTCTTCTCCAGCACCTCAGCTCAAAGACATCAGTTCTCTTTCTGTCATCCTTGGTCATTGTCCAGCTTTCTGATGCATAGCAAGTGATTTTCTGATCAAAAGCATATCTTTTCAGTAATGGAAGATATTTTTAATAAAAGGGAAAGACATTTTAAATGGAAGGACTTGACTTATCTACATCTAATAGCTACAAAGATGAAATTAAACAATTCTGTAACTATCATAACTCTAGAGAAAGCATAATAAATTTTTACTGAAGTTGAATCTTTTTGTCTTATTTGTTGCATTCATTTGTGTAGCAGTGGCTCACTTGGCATGCTTTTGAACACTCATAGTGGCCTGTATAGGAAGAAAATGGAATGATGAAAGATTGAATTGGTCTTCCAAAAATAGGCAATGTAAGATGGTCTTCTAGACTATAAGTTAATTGTAGAAATAAAGGAAAATCACTGGAGATTAAAATAGGGTGTTTTGCACACTCAAAGGTCAATCTGACAGCTAGCTTTATTGACAGATGTTGTTGTGTGCTGTTGAATTAAAACTGTGGAGGTTCCATAGCTAACACTCTAAAAGGCTTTCAGAGAGTGTAAATCACATGGGAGGAGAGTGCCCATCTTTCTTCCCCAGAGCAGCTGGTGGACACAAACTTCATGCCTTTGATTTGGCAGCACAACTCTTTACCACTATGTCGCCAGGTCTCCCTGTATTGACAGTAGAGAAGAGCACAGAGAGTCACACTAGGAAGCTTCTCTTTTAGGAAATGCAAGATCATCATTATTTATACTAAGATGGTAGTAATGGTTATGCCCCAGTTGCCATAGGGTCAACTCTGACTCCTGATGGTCTCATGTGTGTCAGAGTAAAACTGTTCAAGATAGTGTCTTCGGTCTCTTGTTCCTTGGTTGGAGGGATGAGAAATGTTCAGATTCATGCAGTTATATATGGCCCCACTGGAAAGCCACATTCAGTAAAAACGGAATAGCATTGTCTTTGTTCAACTTTTCTCAAAAAAAAAAAAACCACAAAAACAACCAAACAAACCCCAAAACCCTCATTACCATAGATTTGGAACCAACTCATAGCTGACCCACTAGCATGTCTTCAGAAGCTGTAAAATGCACAAAAGGAGATTTTCTTTCTCCATTGGGGCATCTGGTGGATTCATTCTGCCTGCCTTTAGGTTGGCAGCCAACTCCCTACTGACTAGATCACCAGAGAACCTCAGAGGAGGAAAATGTTAAGTGTCTCACAACTAAATAAAAGGTTATTAAAAGTGTGTTTGAGCTGCAGGCAACATGACTTATGAATAGATTGGATATGAGAAAGTCAGAGAAAAGGAATAATTCTATTAGAGGGGTAATTCCTTTAGATTTAAATAATTTGGCCTGTGATAGCTACAATAAATGAAAGGTAGTTTGAGAGAGAAATTAAGAGAATGAGAGAAGATATTTGAATCACATACCCAACAATTATTAATACCTAGAATTTATAGAGAACTCCAGCTTAAAAAGATAAGTAACTGCCTAGTGGCAATAAGCTGCCCTGCAATCCCAAAGGTGTGTGGTTCAAATCCACCAGATGCTCTGCTGGAGAAGGAGGCGCAGTCTCCTTCTATACCAGTCAGATCTGATTTGACAGTACACACACACACAATATTAAAATTAAAAAAAAAAAGATAAGTAACCCAATTATGAGGGCTATAGGGGTGTGTCCGAGTTAGTGAGACTGGCTTAGGACAGGGAAGGGTTCAGAGCTGCTGTGCTTAGGTTCACTATACATCACAGGCGACTCAATGGCACATAAAAACAATAACATACTCTGATAGATTTGGAAGCAGGAGTGGCATCCACTTTCTAAATAACATGCCTCCGGAAACCCTAAGAACTTTGATAAATGTTGATAGTTGTCTAGGGGCTTCAGGCCTTTTGTTCATAGGGTCACTGTGAGTCATGCTGAACTCTAAGGCAATCAACAACAACCCAATTATAAAAATAAAGGGAAATGTTTGAGGAGCACGGGTAAAAGACATGACTAGATAGGTCTAGAAGGGGAAACCCGAACAGTCAGTATATAAAATGCTTAGCCTTAGTCGCAGTCAGGGAAATCAAATGAAAACCACAAGATACAATTTTATTACCATCTGATTGGCAAAAGCAAAGTCTGAAAATCCCAGGAGTTGACAAGAATGTGGAACAAGATCTTTTCCAATTGCTGAAGTGAAAAACAAATGAAAACTCTAAATTAAGAATTAAGCTATTTCACACCCGTGTTTATTTCGGCTTTGTTCACAGTAGCAAAGAGTTGGAAACCATCCAAATGCCTATCAGCAAACGAGTGGATAGAGAATCTGTGGTATATTCACACAGTGGAATACTATGCAGCACTGAAAAACAAAGAACTCATGAAATAGAGCACAAAATGGGTGACCATGAAGGACATTATGCTGAGCAAAATATCTCAGTCACAAAAAGATAAATACTGCACAATGCCACTGTTATAGAACAGGACTGATATAAGAGTTGAGGGGAAACAAAAAAGGGGGTAAATAATGTATATGGCATTTAAACAGATGAGGGAGAGAACTGTATAAAAGGAACATATGATTAGGTATTATTGGCATGACAAGAGTCCAGAATAAGAGATGCATAGTAAAGTGGTCTGATGGGGGTAGGGGTAGACTATATAACAATGAAAGAACTTTTTTTCCAAAGAAAAAAGTTACCTGGGGGCATGAGGGAGGAAAATGTGCAACAATGAATAAATGGAAACCCAAGTTCTTTATAAACTTTAATTAAAGTCTTAACAAAAAATTAAGCTATTTCTTTACTAGTAAGACTGAAAAAATCTTTTGGTAACTATTGAAAAGTATACTTAAAAAACTTAAGAGTAAGAAAATCTTGACTTTTTTTATTTCAGAAGTTTTTATAATCAAAGATTTCCTATTTTATGGAGAGAAAAATTATCTTCAAAGTGTCATTATAGATTTCCTTAGAATTACTTTTTTCCTCAAGCATTTATCTGTCTCTTAAAATTCTTTGGACTTCTACTATGACTTGTACTGTAGGATGGCTAATCTAAACTCCATTTTCAACTCCTTTCTCCTTTTCTTGTCTCCAGTATAAAAGATATGAAGCTCCTTTGCAGCCTGGGGTAGGTATGCAACATGGGCTTTGTCATTGATAGAGGATGCCTGTAGGGCATACTGTTTCTTCTTGCTGCCTAAAAAAAAACCCACACAAAAAACCCCAGAAGTATAACAGTTATCTGATGATTTGTTACAATAACCATGTATATAAAGGGTGAAACCCATAAAAATAAAAGTCAGTTAAAATAGGAAATAGGGTGTATCCTTTTTCCATACCTTTTCAGCCTCTATGCAGAATGGATCACTCCAGGAGGCTGGACTTTATGAAAAACAATGTGGCATCAGGGTTCTAGGAAGATTTACCAGCAACCTGTATTATACAGACAGCATAACCTTGCTCCCTGAAACTGAGGAGGACTTGACGCATTTGCTGCAGAAGGTCAAGGATTGCAGCCTTCAATATGGATTGCATCTCAGAGTAAAAAAACAGAGATCCTCACCACTGGACTAATTGGCAAAATATGTTAGACAGATAAAAGATTGACGTTTTTAACACTTCATCTTGCTTGGATCCACAATCAACACACTTAGCACCAAGAGTCAGTAAATCAAAAGATTAGTTACTTCGGGAAAGTCTTCTGTCTGGGATTTCTCCAGAATGCTAAAGAGTAATGGTTTCAGTCTAAAGACTAAGGTATGCCTGATCCAGGCCATGGTCTTCTCAATTTCTTGCTATGTATCAGAGAGTTGGACAATGACTAGAGCTGACAGAATAATAATCATTGTCTTTGAGTTGTGGTGCTAGAGAAGAGTCTTGAACACACCTTGGATTTCCAAGAGAATGACAGGCCTGTCCTAGAGAGGGTGAAACCAGGTTACTCCTTGGAGGCAATGATTTTAAAACTCTGTCTGACGTACTTCTGGCATATTGCCAGGAAGGACCAGTCCTTGGAGAAGTCATAATGTTTAGAAAGGTAGAAGGATGGCCATAGACGAGAAAAACCCTGGGTGAGATGGACTGGCGCTGAGACTATGTCAGTGGGGTCCTAGGAGTGCTGGAGATGGTGAGCTTGGTTGGCTCGTGATGAGGTAAGTTTCAGAGCCATTGTTCATAGGGTCTCTGTGAGTCAGAGTCGATTCATCATCACATAACAACAACAGCAACAAGCCAGTTATACTAAAGCAAAGTGAAAAGAGGCATAGAGAGGCTGGATCCTTGATGGCGTCACTGAACTACTGGACCTGACTCATGTGAGACAAGACACACACACCCAAGGCTTAAGCCTGTGTTCATTGTGTTTTCTCTTGTTTGCAGCTAACCTGACTCTACTTGAGTTACCTTTCTTTCATAGTTAAAGTCTTTGTTATTAGTTGGTGTGGATGGATATACTGGAATACACAAAATACAAATTTGTTGTGTTGCTATAATAAAGTAAGACTGCCTAGTGAACAAATTAGTACTTTGAGATTTTGATTATCATTAATTTATCTGTATATAAGCATATGATCAATTTGGTTGGGTATCATAATGTAAGAATATAAAGAAAATGCCTTTCTGAGTATCTTGCCTGATAGTATTAAATATTTGGAAATTAGCATAATAAAGATATATTTTAAACCGAGAAGTGTCTTAGCCTGTAGTCTAATGTGCATTTTTTTAAGAGTTGACTGAGAAAACTACTGATTTTTCTATTTCAAATGTTTTGTCTAGAATGTAGTCTAAGAGCATTGAATCGAGTACTACGTGATGAAATTCTTAATAAACCTATGGAAACACTTAAACTTGCTATTCCATCAGGAATATATACTCTTCAGAATAATTTACTTTATGTGGCACTGTCAAATCTAGATGCAGCTACTTACCAGGTACTTGAAATACATTTTTAAAAATTTGTTTTTATTGATATTTTAATCAAAGTTTACAGAAAACTTAGATTTCCATTCTTTTATTGTTGCACATTTTCCTCCTTACCCTCTGTCCCCCAGTTTGCTTTTCCCTTTAAAGAGATTCTTTCATTGTCTCCAGTTTCTTACCTCTTCCTGAGCCCCCAGTCCACTTTGTGATGTACCTCTTATTCTGGACTGTTGTCATGTAAATAATGCCTAATCATATATTCCTTTTAAACAGTTCTTTGTCTCATCTCTTTTTTTCTTTTTGAGAAAATATATACTTTATTTGCTATTAATAGCTTTGAACATACTAATTTTTTTATTTCCATTCATTCCTGTTATACATTTTCCTCCCTGTCCTCTGCCCCCCACCCCAGTTCGCTTTTTTCTTTGGAAAAAAAAATTATTCCATTGTTATACAGTATCCCTGGAACCGCTCCCCAGACCACTTTACTGTTCAACTCTTATTCTGAACTCTTGTCATGCCAATAATAGCTTATCATATGTTCCTTTTATACATTTCTCTCCCTTGCCTGTTTCAATGCTGTGTACATTATTTATCCCCTCTTTTCTTAGTTTTTCCCAGCCCCCATTTCAGTCCTATCCTATAACAGTGGCATTATGCAGTATTTGTCTTTTTTGTGACTGAGATATTTCACTTAGCATAATGTCCTCCATGGTCACCCATTTTGTATAGTATTTCGTGAGTTCCTTGTTTTTCAGCGCTGCATAATATTCCATTGTGTGAGTATACCGTAGCGTCTCTACCCATTTGTTTGTTGATGGGCATTTGGGCTGTTTCCAACTCTTTGCTATTGTGAACAAAGGAGCAATAAATAGGGGTGTGCATATATCTGCTTAGGTGGCAGTTATGGTTTCTTTAGAGTATATTCGCAGTAGTGGAATTGGTCAAATGGTATCTCTATTTGCAACTTTTTGAGAAAACGCCATACAGCCTTCCATAGTGGTTGCACCATTTTACACTCCCACCTACACTGAATAAGGTTTCCAGTCTCTTCACAACCTCGCCAACATTTGTTGTTTGCTGCTCTGTTAAATTTTGCTATTCTTACTGGGGTGAGATGATCTCATAGTTGTTTTGTTAAGTACATTTTTAATAGTCTTTTTTAACAAACAGACTGACTTTAATGATATTAGCTGTTTGCTTTTTTTTTTCTTTCTTCCCAAGGTCACATATCAGTTGAAAATTCTTACAACGGCATTATTTTCTGTGTCTATGCTTAGTAAAAAATTAGGAGTATACCAGTGGCTCTCCCTAGTGATTTTGATGACAGGAGTTGCTTTTGTGCAGGTAAATATTCAAGATAAGTATACCTTTTATTTTATCACAGTTTTAAAATCTCATTTATTTTATTTGCTGAAGAAAATAAATGCCTATTCCTCACTATTGATAAAAACTTTTGAAGTTTTGCGAAAGATAATTGATTGGGCAGTGTAAGTGGTACAAAGAAATATATTAAAAGACAAGCTATTTGACATACATAAATGAACAGGAAAATATAACACTACATATGATGTAAATTTATTAATTATCTGAACATTTGAGACTATTAACCATTCCTTTATTATTGTTTAGCAGCTTCTTTGATATCAGTCTTCCCTGGTTTTTCTGATGGCTTTCTAATGATTCCTCTTCTTTTTGCTTCATGGTGCTTTTTTGGTGCTCCCTTTAGATATAGAGGTTCTCAGTGTCAATAATGGAGCTCTGATGGCCCAGTGGTAAGAAGCTGGCTTCAATCCCAAAGGCTACCAACTGCTCCATGGGAAAAGGATGGGCAGTCTCCTCCCATGTGGTTAACTTCCTCTGAAAACCTGCTAGAGGGACAGCTATGGGTTTGTTCCAACTTGACAGCACACAGCCACAATAGTGTAGATAATAGGACTGCTTGTAGGCATGTTACTTCTCCATAATTCCTGTCTGTATTTTTTTTGAGATTTCATAAATTCTGTACACTTTTTTTTTTAGAGATTTTATTGTAAATTTATAAAGAACTTGGATTTCCATTCATTCGTTGCTGTACATTTTTCTCCCTGCCTCCCCTCCCCCATAAGTTTGCTTTTTTCTTTGGAAAAAAAGTTCTTTCATTGTTGTACAGCGCCCCCCCATTGCTTTTTCTAAGCGTCCCGGTAACTTAGAGAATGAAGTATGTGCTACTAATTGAAAGGTTGGTGGTTCAAATTTACCCACAGCTCTGAGAGAAAAAGATAAAACTGTCTTCTCATTAAATTTTGTAGACTTGAAGTCCAGTGGAGCAGTTCTGTTCTGCCCTATAGGGTCATTATGAGTTGGAATCGACTCAACAGGCAATGAATTTGGAAATGTCTTTAAAAATGCTTGTATACTGATGATTCTTTGATCCGTTTCATTGTTGTGAGGTGCCGTCAAGTAAAATACAACTCATAGACACCCTATGAACAAAAGATCGAAACCCTATTCTATCTTGTACCTTCCTCATACTTCCTGACACACAAGAGCCCATTGCAGCAGTCACCATTTCAGTCCACCTGGCTGAGGGTCTTCCTCTCCTTTGCTGACCCTCCACCCTTCCCAATATCATGTCCCTCTCCAAGGAATAGCCCCTCCTAGCATCATGTCCAAAGTATGTGATGTAAATTCTCATCATACTTGCCTCCAAAGAGCACTCCGGCTGGACCCTATCCAAAACATAGCAGTGTCATTAGTACTGATTATTGCAGTAATTTCAGATTTATATATCTAAAATGCTTTCAAGCATTTTTTGTGTGGTTATTTAAAACCCTTAAATGTGTCACAGATATCCCTTTAGTGGTGTTTAAAAAAAAACCGATAAAATCCACGTTGGAGAACCAAGATGTTACCCTATTCAGTAACACTCACCGATAGTACCCTATTCACTGATATTTTTATTAATTTAAGACCTTGGACATTTTGTTCTGTATTGAAATAAATTTCAATTTCGTGCACGCCCCTCCTCCCCTTACAAAGTGTTTCAGTAAAATAAATTTTAAAAAAAATCAACAAACCTTATAAACTCAGCTGTAGCCTTAAATATAGATTGAGGCTCAATATCAAGAAAACAAAGATTCTCACCACTGGGCCAATTGGTAGCATGATAGATGGTATAGAAATTGATATTGTTAACAGCTTTAGTTTACTTGGCTCCACAGTAAACACTCTTGGAACCAGCAGTCAGGAAATTAAAAGACATATTGTGTTGGGAAAGTCGCCTGCTAGAGACCTCTCCAAAGTACTGAAGAGCAATGATGTCACTCTGGAGACTGAGGTGTGCCTGATACAGGCCATGGTCTTTGCAATCACTTGCTGGGCATCAGAAAGCTGGACAATGACTAGGGATGATAGAAGGAGAATTGATGCCTTTGAGTTGTGGTGCTGGAGAAGAGTATTGAATATACCATGGACTGCTAAAAAAACAAACAGGTTCATTCTAGAGAGGGTTAAACCAGAATGCTCCTTGGAGGCAAGGATTCTGAAGCTTCATCTGACCTACTTTGGACATATTACAAGGAGGGACCAGTCCTTGGAGAAGGACGTCATACTTGGGATTGTGGAGGGACAGCACAGGAGGGGAAGGCCCTCTGTGAGGTGGATTGATTCAGTTGGAGACAGTGAGATTGGCAAGGGATAGAGCAGGGTTTAGGACCGTTGTACATAAGGTCGCTATGGGTTGTAGGTGACTCGACAACACAAAACAACATCAGCATATCCAAATTAACCTCTTCCTCACCATTTGTTATTTACTCAAACTGGAAGCTGTCTTAGAATTCATCCAATATATCCAACCCCTCTAAGACCTTTCTGATCCTGCTTTCTAATATAACTTATCAAATTCATACTTAAGATGAACCAATAAAGTAAGTATTGAGTTTTAAAGCTTGAGTTGGTTTAAATTAAAACTATTAAGTCATTAATAATTCAGAGGAGACATGGCTTTGGTAAAAAAATATGAAGATGATAGGTATATAACTGAAATTTTTATCTTACAGAATAAAATCCAGAGTGATTAGCATAATTCATTGGCCTATTTTTAATGCAGTTATTGTTCCAGATATATGGCTGTCACTGTGCATTCCTAGTTCCTCACCTGAAATGCTTGGAGAAGCTATTGATGCACCTGTACATTTATTTTCTCTCTTTTGACTAGAGTAACTCCTCCCCCCTTTTCCCTTTCCCCTAACCTCTCCATGCCTGACTAACTCCTCATATTTAAAGAATCAGTTGAAATATTTTCTCTACCAAGATACTATTCCTAACACTCCAAGCTGAATAGTTACTCTTTATTTTCTGCTACCACAGTACCTGTATAGATCTTTGCCATAGTACTTACAGTTAAATGTTCATTTGTATGTCTGTTATTTACACTACAGTCAGATTGTAAATGCCTGAAAGGGAGTATCTGTGTTCCCTGCTCCTTTCCGTTCTAGTGCTTAGCACATGCCTGAAGCATAGCAGTGTGCCATAAACTTTTTGAACTAAATTAGCATAATAAATAGCTTGATTTTTAAGCATAGTTTAAGGTCAGGAAAAGCAAATGACATTTGTTCTTACATGGTTAGTTGTCAGGGGATTTTAATACCGTGGATAGTACCAGTAAGCATTTGGACAGAATGGGGTGTGGGGGACACCGAAACCAACTTCTGGGAAAGCTTCAGAGAGGAAGTTAGATTTTAATTAAGTTTTGAAAGATAGCTTACCAAATAACTCAGTCTTAAATTGTATTGGTATGTAATGCATAACTATTTAAGGCTAAGTATTATTCTCCTCCTTTTACGGAAATCAAAGCTCAGAGAGGTTAACTAAATCGCTTAGGACCACACATCTAATAGTAGTAGTAGAGTCAGAATTAAAATTTCTTAAAACATTTTCTTTTCTACGTGTACTGTGGGTACTAAAGTCTAGGGTCTTGAAAGCTTAAGAGTGATCATCTAAGAAACAACTGTTAGTGTATTTCTGTGAAACAAAAGCAAAAGAAGGAAATCAAGAATTTGAGAAGAAACCAGACTAAAGGATTTGTTATCTCCATGAGCCGTTTTCTCCTCTCCCTTGAAAACAGAGACTCTAGATGGTGTCTGGCTACCACTACCAAATGTTCTAATCTAGAACACAGAACATAAATCCTAATAAGAAGGCAGGGAAATATATAACAGAACCTCAAATTCTTGAAGAATGCAGACCTATTGAAACTTTTTCCTGAAGTTGTTTTTATTCATTTTCTTTTTTTTTATCTGAAATCACAGTTAATTTGTCTATTTAACTAAAAAGTAAAGATTGTCATCTTTGAGTATTGAGTTCTTTTAAAAATTATAAGACCAAATGAAAATAGTTCTTTGAAAACATTTATGAGAAGCTTGGGAGCAGGTAATTTTAAGTTAATAAGACTGAAGCAACTAGAAGAAAATGAATTGAATGCAAAGAATGTATCCAATGTCATTGATCATTTGGCCTAGAAACCATTGAATGTGAGAGGGTTTTTCCTATATATATTTTCATTTAAAAAATTAAAATTGTAGAAATGAGTCAATTGCATGCTTTTTTCTGATAGTTTGTGTTTAATCATCCTGAAGCACCAGAGAATGAGAGTAATGGTAAAAAGTCTAATAGTACAAATGTAGATAAGTACAAGGTACATTAATAAACTTTTTCAGTTGGATCAAAGAATTGACCAGAGATGAATGAAAAAGGATATTATTATTATTATTATTATTATTATTATTATTAACAAAAAATTGGTTACCACATTTTATATTACTTTCAGTAATGAGCTAGGAAGTTAAATTTAAATCATTGGAGATTTGGAAGGGAAAGAGGTATAACAGAGAAATCATGTAAGCATGCAGGGTAGATAGATTGTTGTGGTTAGGTGCCATCAAGTCAAGTACAACTCATAGCTACCCTGTGAACAACAGATCTGAACCCTGTCCTATCCTGTGCCATCCTCACACTTCCTGACACACTACAACCCATTGCAGCAGTTACTGTCTCAATCCATCTGATTGAGGCTCTTCATCTTTTCACTGACCCTCAGCCTTCTCGAGAATGTCCTTCTGCAAGGAATAGCCTCTCCAAGCAACAGGCCCAAAGTGTGTAAGAGGTGAAGCTTTATCATCTTTGCTTCCAAGGAGCACTCTGGTTGTACTTTCTCCAAGACACCATTGTTGCAGACTGAGGGTCCCAAAGAATGGAATAGTTTTATAATTATTAATAAAGAGACAAAACAGCCAGGAATGTGATAGAGCAGAGAGCATAAAACAGGGGGCCAGCAGTTCTCGACTGAAGACCCCAAGTCATGTTTC